CGGGTGTGTGCGATCAGAGAGAGAGTGTGTGTCTGTGTGTGTTTCTAGGTTTGTATTTATGGGTGTATGCGATCAGAGAGACTGTGTTTTTCTAGGTTCGTGTTTATGGCTGTTTTCAAGATGGCCACAAGGTGGCGCCCTCCACCCTTAGGAACCAACCACAGGAGCCTTGTGGGGTGTGTGTGTGTGTGTGTGTGTGTGTGTGTGTGTGTGTCTAGGTTTGTGTATATGGGTGTGTGTTTCCCAAGATGGCCACAAGGTGGCGCCCTGCACCCTTAGGAACGAACCGCAGGAGCCTTGGGATCAGTGTGTGTGTGTGTGTGTGTGTGTGTGTGTGTGTGTTTGTTTGTGTATGGGTGTGTGCGATCAGCGAGAGAGTGTGTGTGTATGTATCTTTAGGTTTGTGTTTATGGGTGTGTGCGATCAGAGAGAGTGTGTGTGTGTTTCTAGGTTTCTATTTATGGGTGTGTGTTTCCCAAAGTGGCCACAAGGTGGCGCCCTCCACCCTTAGGAACCAACCACAGGAGCCTTGTGATGTGTGTGTGTGTGTTTCTAGGTTTGTGTTTATGGGTGTGTGCGATCAGAGAGAGTGTGTGTGTGTTTCTAGGTTTGTGTTTATGGATGTGTGTTTCCCAAGATAGCCACAAGGTGGCGCCCTCCAGCCTTAGGAACCAACCACAAGAGCCTTGGGATCCCATGGCTGCTCAATGGCTTCTTACCTTCCTCTTCCCAGGCAGGAATTAGGAAGTTTGGGAAGGTTCCGAGACTTATTCATTCATTCAGCCAACATTTATGGAGCTCGCACTGTGTGCCAAGCACACTGCCTGACACTAATGTTTATTATGCAGAGATGGTCTAAGCACTGTAAATAGATGCTTACAGTGGAATAGGTGAGAAAAGTGGCCTGAGGCTCAGAGATGCGAAGTGAAACTGCCCAGGGCCACCCAGCTTGTTAACAAGCGTGCCTGGCCATGCAGCCTGGGGTCCTATGAACCAGACAGAGGGAGGCTCTGTACCCAGAAAGGTGGGATCCAGATGGGAAACATACTCTCCTCTGCACGCCAGCTCTGCCTGGGTGGGTGCTAGGAAGGAAAGGTACAGAGGGCTGGGAGAGCGGAGAACATCAGGGCAGCTAGACTTCCTGGATGAGTGGAATCGTTCCTGCCAGAAGGAGAGAATGTTCTCGGAGGTGAGAATTGCATCTGGCTGGAGCCTTGTGGGAGAGGGAGGTAGGAGGAAAGGAGAGAAGTCAGATGGGCAGGGGCCGAAGGGAAAGCTCCTTGGTGGAGAGTGTGGGGAACCACAGATTTTAAGAAAGATTTATTAGGAAAAATTCCAAGCACCACAAAAGTAAACAGTAGTATAAATTGCATGTATTTGTCCCCGGCTTCAGTAGTTACCCACTCGCCCATCTTGTTTGATGTGCTGCCGCCCCCTGCCCTGAAGCAAATCCCAGTCTTCGGAGCTCCTCTGTAAAAGCTTCACTGTGTATCTTTAACATAGAAGCATATAAGTGTGCTGTCACCTCCAACAAAATTAACAAAAATTCCGGCTGGACACGGTGGCTTACGCTTGTAATCCCAGCACTTTGGGAGACTGAGGCAGGCGGATCATGAGGTCAAGAGATCAAGACCAGCCTGGCCAACATGGTGAAGCCCCGTCTCTACAAAAATACAAAAAAATTAGCCGGGCATGGTGGTGCGCGCTTGTAGCCCCAGCTACTAGCGGGGCTGAGGCAGGAGAATCACTTGAACCTGGGAGGCGGAGGTTGCAGTGAGCCGAGATCACCACTGCATTCCAGCCTGGGCAACAGAGCAAGACTCTCAAAACAAACAAACGAACAAAAAAACACAGAAAACCCACAAAAATTCCATAATATCATCTGAAACCCATTGTGCATGCATTCACACTTGTCTGATGACCTCTCAAGTGTCTTTTCTGCAAACGGCTTGTTTAAATTCATCTTGTATCTAAAGACGGCTACACGCTGCAGTTTGTTGAGGTCCTTCCTTCCTTCCTTCCCCCTTCCCTTCCCTTCCCTTTTCTTTCGTCTTGCTCTCTTGCCCAGGCTGGAGTATGGTGGTACAATCTTGGCTCGCTATATTCTCGATCTCCTGGACTCAGATGATTTTCCCACCTCAGCCTCCTGAGTAGCTGGACTACAGGCACTTGCCATCATGCCTGGCTAAGTTTAGTTTTTTTAGAGACAGGGTTTGCCCATGTTGGCCAGGCTAGTCTTGAACTCCTGAATGCAAGCCACCTACCTGCCTCAGCCTTCCAAAGTGCTGGGATTACAGGCATGAGCCACTGAGCTTGGCTGAGGTATTTCTTAAATCTCTTTTAATTTATATCCCCCTCTCTACTTTTCATGCTCTTTATTTGTAGAAGAAATCAGGTTATTTGTCCAGTAGAGTTTTGCAGTCTAGATTTGGCTGATTTTTTTCCCTAGCAAGCATATTCAGATGGAAAAATGAGAAATAGATTTTGCTGATTTTATTTTCATGGTGTCATTTAACATCCTCCTCTGTCTCCTGTACTTCCAGTGAAGTGGTGGCTAAGCCTGTATATTGTTTAATCAGATGTGGGGTAGGTTTTGGCAAGATACCCCCTTTGGTGGTGGTGTTGAGACTGATGAATTCAGCCGTTGAGAGCGGGCTTCAGCCTTTCTACCAATGCAGTGGTTCACTGTGGATTTGCACTCAAATTGCCTGGGAGCTTCGGAAACTCCCAGTGCCCTGGCTGTCCTGTAGACACACCATTTCTTTTTCTTTTTTTGAGGCAGAGTCTCACTCTGTCACCCAGGCTGGAGTGCAGTGGCCTGGTGTCGGCTCACCGCAACCTCTGCCTCCTGGGTTCAAGCAATTCTCCTGCCTCAGCCTCCCAAGTAGCTGGGATTACAGGCATGTGCCATCATGCCCAGCTAATTTTTGTATTTATTTATTTATTTTTTTTTTAGATGTAGTCTTGCTCTATTGCCCAGGCTGGAGTGCAGTCACACGATTTTTGTATCATTGTCTGAACCTGGTCTCGAAATCCTGACCTCAAGTAATCCACCCGTCTTGGCCTCTCAAAGTGCTGGAATTATAGGTGTGAGCCACGTGCCGGCCCTATGTTTCTTTTAAAAAATGTGAGCAGTGAGGAGTTCTGGGGCAGGCCCTGACTCCTCCGGAGACACCATGTACACCTGAATCTCTGGGATGGGATCCCTCCCTGCTGCCCAAGAGTTCCACTACTTGCATTACTTAACTTTCTTATTGTGAAATATAATACACGCCAACGGGCATACAATATAAATGTACAGTTTCACAAATTATCATAGAGCCAACATTTATGGAGTTCGAACTGTGTACCAGGCACACTGCCCAACACTAGTTAAGCCTGGGACTCCACGTAACAACTACACAGGTGAAGAACTTGAGGCCAGGCGTGGTGGCTAACACCTGTAATCTTAACACTTTGGGAGGCTGAGGTGGGTGGATCACCTGCGGTCAGGAGTTTGAGACCAGCCTGGCCAACGTGGTGCAACCATTTCTCTACAAAAAATACAAAAATTTAGCTGGGCAGGGTGGCCCATGCCTATAGCCCCAGCTACTCATAAGGCTGAGGCAGGAGAATCACTTGAACCCAGGAGGCAGAGGTTGCAGTGAGCTGAGATTGTGCCACTGCCCTCCAGCCTGGGCAACAGAGCGAGACTCTGTCTCCGCCCATTCCCCACCCCCCCAAAAAAAAGAAAAGTTGAAAGTGGTCACTTCCCCACAGCCTCTGTATGCCTTTTTCTAGGAGAGGCCCTCCTACCCCAACCATGCTCCCAAATGCACCTAATCTCACTTTATTTGTTTATGGTTTTGTCAGCTGAATCATGCATCCCTAAACAATATAGTTTAGTTTTATCTCTTTTGCACTTTATTTACTTTTTTTAGAGACAGAGTCTCACCCTGTCACCCAGGCTGGAGTGTAGTGGCACAATCTCGGCTCACTGGACCCTCTACCCTCCGAGTTGAAGTGATTCTCGTGCCTCAGCCTCCTGAGTAGCTGGGATTAGAGGCGTGTGCCATCATGCCAGGCTTATTTTTGTAGAGACAGGGTTTTGCTGTATTGGCCAGGTTGGTCTTGAACTCCTGGCTTCAAGTGATCCACCTGCCTCGGCCTCTACAGTGCTGAGATTATAGGCATAAGCCACTTTGTCCATCCAGAGAGGTCCAATTTCTGTTCATTTCCCCCTTCCCCATAAATAATCCTTTCCCCCACCACAGATGTTGGTTTATTCTATTATATAATTTTGAAAATACAAACATATAATTTATAGTTCCAGTTTCTTTTACATAAAGGGAGATACTGGAGATACTGTCTGCCCTGGGCTGTGTTGTGGCAGTCACTTGGTGACGGGTTATAGAGATCGTTTTATAGTTTTGTGGTACTCAATTGAGTAGATGTGTTAGAATTTCAGCTGGTTCTCTTTTGATGTCCATTTTGGTTATTTCCACTCCCGTTATTACAGATTGTACTGCAATGAATAGCCTTGTGCATATATTTTCTCCAGGAAGGGTTTTGAGCATGGTGGTAACCCGTTCAAATTTGTACTGTAGAGGATTTCGTGACTGGGAGACAGCGAGAGTGGCCTGGCGAGGTGGGAGGAGGAGGCTTTCAGGGTGTGGACAGGTTGATGAAATCGTTTAGAATTGGAACTCACGTGGCTGTGTTCCCACTCCTTCACCTGCATCAGGGGTGTGTGTGTGTGTGTGTGTCTGTCTGTCTGCCTGTCTGTGCGTGGTGGGGTCATGTCCTCTTCGTGGGATAGATGGAGGCGATGTGACCATATCCCTCCTTACACGTCGGAGGGGAGATAATAGGACCCTGCCCTCCCCATGGGGGCAGTTGAGAGTGATGGAACCGCGTTCCCTCTTCGTGGGGAGGTGAAATGATGGGGCGTCCCACCCCTATGGAGTAGTTGTAATGGGGCCATGCCTCTCTCCCCAGCGCTCTCTCCCTGTCTTCCCCAGGGTGTCGCGCCTGGCTTCCGAGAAGCGGGAGCTGGAGGAGCAGCTGAGCCGATCGCGCGAGGAAGCGCTGGCTGGGCGCGTGGCCCGCCAGGAGGCCGAGGGACTGCGTGGGTTGGTGCGTGGGCTGGAGCTGGAGCTGCGGCAGGAGCGCGGCCTTGGGCACAGGGTGGCTGGCCGCCGAGGCCAGGACTGCCGCCGCCTGGCCAAGGAGGTGAGCAGCGGTGACCCGGGGGTGGCCGGCGAGGCGTGGACCTGAGCCTCAGTCTGGACCTCTGCACCTCTCTCCGCTCCCTGCAGCTTGAGGAGGCGAAGGCATCCGAGCGGAGCCTGCGCGCCCGGCTGAAGACGCTGACCACTGAACTGGCCTTGTACAAGAGGGGGTGAGAGGCCAGGCCTGGGGGCGACTGGGTGGATGGGCAGGGCCTGAGAGGGGGTGGAGCTTGAGAGGCAGGGTGGGGCCAGGTAGGGTGAATGGGGCGGGGCTTAAGGGGAGGCGGGGCTTAGTGGACCTCCCGGAGCCCAGACATATTTCGGGTGCAGTGGTTAGAAGGGGTACCCCGCGCGCAGGCTTGGGGTTGGCACTCAGGACGAGGGACTGGGAAAGGGGCCAGCCCGAGGGTCTCCTGGAGCAAAAGCGTGCGGCGCAGCAGGTGGGATCAGGGTGAGGTCTGCTGGCATTTATGGACTGGGTGGTGGAAAATTGGGAAGGTTTTCGGGAGTTGTGGAAGACTCCAGGAAGAAGGGTCTGGCGAAGGGGGTTTGTTGGAAAGATGTAGGGAAATGACAGACGGGTGTTTTAGGGGTTTGGATGGGGCCTGGGGGAGGGTATCGGGCCCAGGAATACACGCCTAGGAGCCGATGGGGATGGGCCTGAGGGTTCGGAGAGGGTGCGGTCGGGGAGGAGACTCGCGATTAGATTTGTCGAGGCTGGCAGGAAGCTGACAGCTACCCCTGTGGTCTCAGGAGGCGGACTCCGCCGGTGCAGCCGCCCCCGGTGCGGGAGGACCGGGCCCTGTCGTCCCGGGAGCGCTCCACGTCTCGAGGCCGCGGCGCCGCGCGCTCCTCGTCCCGGGAGAGCGTCCGCGGGAGCCGGGGTCGGGGCCGACCCGCGCGCCCCTCGCCCTCGCCCACAGGTCTGTGCCCCTGCGCTGCGGTGGGGAGGGGACGCACTAGCGCTGCCTTGACCCGTCCTGGGACCCACCCGCCTCCTTTCCCACGCTGTCCTAGGTGGTCGCGCGCTCCGCTTCGACCCCACGGCCTTTGTGAAAGCCAAGGAAAGGAAGCAGAGAGAGATCAAGATGAAGTCAGTCCCCTTTCCTCCCTCTTCTGCTTCCGCCCCTGCCCCGTGCCCGCTCCCGGGCGCTCAGCTCTCTGCGCCACCATCCGTCCGCATCCCCTGCCACCTGCTCGCTTCACGCTGGCTACCCCGCCCGCTCCGCCTTCCGTCTGCCCCACCTCTTCGTCTGTGTTTCCGTACGCTTTCCTCTCCTGGGCCCGTACCTCGGGCAGTCGTCGACGTGCTGTGACCTTTAGGGGCGCAGCGACCCCCTTGCCCGCAGGAGCTGGGTGCACAGGCCGGCGTCTCCTTTCCTGCTTCCCAGGCAGCAGCAGCGGAACCGATTAGGCAGTGGAGGAAGCGGGGACGGGACGTCCGTCTCCTGGCCTCGCCAGACCCGGCCCCCTGCTGCCGTGACTGGACGAGGGGACGCCCCTAACCGCTCGCGAAACCGCAGCTCCTCAGGTAACCGGCCTGGAGCTCAGGGCCTGGGGCTCGGGGTCGACGGGCTGGGCTGGACTGGGCAGGGCCGGCCGGAGGGGCGGGGCCGGGAGGCACTGGGCGGGGCCGACGGGCTGGGAGGGGCTGGGAGGCACTGGGCGGGGCCGGCGGGCTGGGAGGGGCTGGGAGGCACTGGGCGGGGCCGGCGGGCTGGGAGGGGCTGGGAGGCACTGGGCGGGGCGGGCGAGGGCACGAGAATCACGCCCCCGTCTCCCTCTAGTGGACAGTTTCCGCAGCCGCTGCTCGTCAGTCAGCTCCTGCAGCGATTTGGAGGATTTCTCTGAGTCGCTTTCCAGACGGTAAAACTTGGACTTGGGGAAAGGACCACCTCAAAAGGGTTTCTGGGGAGACTAGAAACAGTCTTTTGCAGAGAAATTGGGTGATGGAGGCTGGGAGCCTTGAAACCACAAAGGTGGGGGACGTGGGAAGTTCCAGAGCCTCCCCAACACTGGTCCTTGATTACTCCTTTCTCGCAGGGGTCTCCGCCGCCGTGGCAAGCCTCCCAGCCCAACGACCTGGAGTGGGTCCAATACGGTGAGTAGAAGGGGGAACATAAACCACTGGAACACAGCTGTCCCCATTTGCCGTGATTCCTTCCTGGGGACCAAATGCAGAGGCGACTCTGAATGCTTTTGGCAACAGGGCTTTTTTGTTTAAGCGAGGGTCTCGCTCTGTCCTCCAGGCTGGGGTGCAGTGGGGCAGTCGCCATTCATAGCAGCCTTCAACTCCTGGGCTCAAGGGATCCTCCCACCTTGGCCTCTGGAGTAGCTGGCACTAGACTTTTTTGGGGGGGAGGTGGGGTTGAGACTGCGTAAGGGGAGTAAGTGTTGTCTCTTTATGTTGCCCAGGCTGGCCTGGAACTCCTGGCCTCAAGCCATCCTCAGCCTCCCGCAGCGCTGAAGTTACAGGCTGAGCCACCACACCTGGCCTGGGAACAGCGTGTTTAGAGAGCTTTGGATTGGAGGAGGAATAATGAGGGGCACGTGATGCTCTTTAGGGCTTTGACTTCTGATTGTCAGGTCTTAAAACCTGGCTCCTCCTCCTACCAGTTGTTTGATTCTGGGCAGTTTTTTTTTTTTTTTTTTTTTTTTTTTTTTTTTTTTTTTTTTTTTTTTTTTTTGAGGCAGAGTTACGCTCTTGTTGCCCAGGCTGGAGTGGTGCGATGGTGCGATCTCAGCTCACCGAAACCTCCGCCTCCCGAGTTCCAGCAATTTTCCTGCCTCACCCTTCCCAAGTAGCTGGGATTACAGGCGCACACTACTACACCCTATTAATTTTGTATTTTTAGTAGAGATATGGTTTCTCCATGTTGGTCAGGCTGGTATCGAACTCCCGACCTCAGGTGATCCGCCTGCCTCAGCCTCCCAAAGTACTGGGATTACAGGCATGAGCCACCGCACCCCACATTCAGGGCAGTTCTTTCGCCTCTCTGTACCTTAGTTTTTATCCGTTCACTAGGGATGGTAATGGCATCACCTCCCGGGGCTATGTGAGCAAGCCAGGGGATTATTTTGCATATAATGAATGCCCAGTAGGTGTCAGGCTTTATTTTTCCCCAAGGTCCTTAGGCTCAGGATTTCCAGTGGGATTTGGGGGGACAGGAATAGAGGGACGGTGGCTGACCCCCTTTCCTACCTTCCCCATCACCAGAAGTCTACCCCTGTGGAACGCAGCCACCATGAGAAACGTCCAGCCAATTCCGGGGGCTGGGTCCCCATCAAAGGTGAGCCTGGGACTCCACATCCCCTCTCCCAGTCCCAGCTCTTGTTGGTATGGTAGGGGGGCAGTGGTATATTGGGGAGCCCCCCCACACCCACACCTGCTCTCACAGAGTACAGCTTGGACCACCAGGCCGAAATAGATGCACGTCTGAAGGCCTTGCAGGAGTACATGAACCGACTGGACATGCGGTCATGACATGGAGAGGGGGTACTGCCCCTCATCCCCCACCCACCACTGAGTATGGCATGGGGGGTGCAGCCAGGGTGGCCTCCAGCCCCGCCCAGGCCCTGCCCTGGCCCCGCCCCTCCACGTGCCCCTGGGGTCTCAGGCTTGTGAGGCCCTGACCCCAACCTCTCCCCAGGCAGTACATGCTGGGAGGGAGGATATGTGCATTTTGTAAATAAACATATTTGCCTGTGGGACCCCTCAGCTTATGACTAAAGGGTGAGGGTGGAGTGGGGAGAAATGTAGAGGAAGAGAAATTGCGGTGTATAACTGGGACCTGTGTGTCTGTGCCTCAGAGGCAGATCCGGCCTTAGGCCCAGGAAAAGCCGGCATACTCTCTAAACTGTGCAAGGGCAGACCTGGGGGGAGGAGTGAGTAGCCTGTCCCCAAAGGAGTCCAAGCAGAGGTTCTGTGCAGGATGTCTTTGGCTGTGTGGTGGGAAGGGGGTGTCTTGCAGCGTGGCTCATTGCCCAGGAGGACCCCCAGCTGCTTCTGTGACATCCAGGCTGCCGTGGTGCTGATTCCTGGGCTCTGACCTGAGACCTCTGGGTTCTGAGCTGTGATGTTGCTCTCGAGCTGGGATCTCCGGGGTCTTGGTTCAGGGCCGGGGCCTCTGGGTTCGGAGCACCAGCGACGAGAGTGCTGGGAGGGAGGGGGTGGGAGGGCTTGGGTCTTGTGGGAGGGAGAGAAGGAGGGGAGGTGTGGCGGGACCTGCCCAGGAATACATTTTGAGCTGCAGCTGCACCTTTATTGAAGGAGGCGGCAGTGGGGTTTTGGCCGTGGGAGGAGAGGAATGGGGTGCCGCCCAGCACGGCCTCAGGAGGCGCGGTAGTGTGGCCAGTTCTGGATGATGCTGTAGAGTTGGTCGCCTGGAGAGAGCGTAGGCTGCACATCCCGGTGCCCTTTGACCTCATATTTGGAGCTCAGGGCTCCCTGAGCCACACCGCAGGCCAGTAGACTCTGGGCTGCCCGGAGGGCCCGGGCTGGGGGCACCCGATCTGGGGAGGCAGAGGCAGGAGTGAGGCAGGGCTTCCCAAAGGGCAGTGGTAGTGTAGGGTAGTGGGTTTGATTGTGTCCTCTGAGCTGGACTTCACTCTCTGTGCCTCAGTTTCCTCATCCGCGAAAGGAGAGAATAATGGCACCTACCCACAGGGCTGTGGGAGGTAAGAGGAATTATTTTTACGTAAAATCCACAAAATGGCACCTGGCACAGAAGAAGCCCTTAGCAAGCCTTGGCAGTCATAGTGACGATTGCATATTCTCATTCCCCTGTCACCAGACCTCTGGCTCCCACCCACTACAATAGCTAACATCAATCAAGTGCTGCTTAGGGACTGTGGCCTGGCGCAGGATTTTTTTTTAAATATGGAGTCTTGGTCTGTCACCGGGCTGGAGTGCCATGCTGTGATCTTGGCTCACTGCAACCTCCGCCTCCCAGGTTCAAGCAACTCTTCTGCCTCAGCCTCCTCAGTAGCTGGGACTACAGGAACCTGCCACCACGCCTGGCTAATTTTGGTAATTTTAGTAGAGATGGGGTTTCACCATATTGGCCAGGATGGTCTCAATCTCCTGACCTCTTGATCCGCCCACCTTGGGCTCCCAAAGTGCTGGGATTACAGGTGTGAGCCACCGCGCCCGTCTGGCGGAAGATAAAAAATCGGCTAATTCTCACCCCCACCCTGTGGTTGGAAATGACTCCCATTTTCCAATGGTGGAAACGAGGCTCAGAAAATTGAGTCACTTGCCTGAGGTCATGGAGCTTGTAGGTGGTGGAGCCTGTCAGCCACTGGCTGCCATGTCCCCGCCCTCCTCAGGCCGCATGTGAGCCCCCATCCTAACTGGCGGGACAGTTACTCACCCATGTAGTTGCCCATGAAGGTGATGCCAATGGACATGGCGTTCCAGAGGTGACTCGAGTGGTCTCCCTTGAAGCCCCAGCCACGGCCCTCATACACAAGCCCGTCTTCTCCAATCAGGAAGCTGCACGGGGAGGTGGGAAGCTTGATGAATGAGGGAGGGCTTCCCGAGAGGGACGCCTGCCCTTTCCTCCACTCACCTTGCCTCTGCTACTGCCCCGGGACACACAACTTCCCCAGCATCCTTTTCGTCCCTTAGTTTTCCACGACTGTTAACAATGACTGTGATCATTTATTGGGCCCCTGGCATGCGCCAAGCACAGCTCTGCATGCAGCCTTTTTTCCATCCTCACTGCAACCCTGTAAGTCACCACCACCCCCATTTTATAGAGACAGAATCAGAGCGATAGAATCACCTGCCCCACGTCACAGCCCATCAGGGGCACAGCTGGGGTTTTCACCCAGGCTTCCGAGGTCCCCACCCATGTGATCTTGTGCCTTGCTCCCTCCTGCCTCCCTAGAGGATTTCTGGAAGCCTCGTTTTGCTGAATCCTTGCAGGACTGCCCTCTGAGGCAGGGACTGTTACCATCCTTATCTTAAGCTGAGAGAGCTGAGACTCAGCGACAGGATTTGTACAAGCTCCTCAGAGCCCCCTTCGTCTCAGAACTCTGCCCTCACCCCAGCCTGCTTCCTGCCCTCGGGGTCCACTGGGGTGACAGGATCAGAGACAAAGTTGGTGTCACAACCAGATACCGACCCTGGAGCCCCAGCACCTGCCTCTTGGAGGTTTCCAAGCCTGGCAAAATCCTTAAGGCTGATTCATTCAGCACATCTGATTGAATGCATCTGACTTGGCACATGGGAATGAACTAGAACATCAGTGTCTGGGAGCTGCAGTATGTGCTAGCTCAGCCCTAGTGCTCACAGCTTCCTTAATGATGCACAGAATGCCGGAACTTCCGAATCTTGAGTCCTGAATCTACCGCTTAGGAAGCCAGCTCCCAGAATCTGGCCTTGGTGATGCTGGCTGCTGGGACTGGCTGGTTATGGCCGTGCCTTATTCCTGGTGCCTGGCATGGCAGTGGAGGGGAGGGGGGTGGCTGGTTCTCCCTGGTCATTTATTGCATGAATGCATTTAAACCTCAGCCACCATCGACAAGTGGGCACAGTCAAAAGCCCCATTTACAGGTGAAGAAACTGAGGCTCAGAGGGAGAACGTGACATGACCTGGAAAGGGGATTCAGAATATTAGAACCAGATTCTGAATCCTAAAAGCTGAGCGCCAGACTTCAGGCTGCTTCTCTGTGTGGTGGTGTAGACCCGAGGCTGCAGAGCCAGGCTTGGCTCTTCATGACCTCATGGGAATGCTTAGAATCCAGCACTTGAGTCTTGGAAACAAAACCTTGAATTTGGAATCTTTGATAAACTCTTGCAAGAGCTGGGAATACCTTTGGAAACCTCTAGACTTCTTTGGGTGGGGTCTGTTTTTTTGTTTTGTTTTTTACTTTTTTTCATGACAGCCTCAGGAGGTCCTGAGAACATGTGACCCCGGGTGGGGTCTATCGGGGACCTGGGGATCTGGGGACCCATGTCTTCCTCCAGTAATCTCTGCAGGGGATTCTGATGCTTACCTGGGTCAGAGCCTGCAGGGTTCAAACCTTCCCTCTCCTTGGAAACCCTCAGGCTGGATTGCAGCCCATTGTAAGGAGGCGGTAGCTGGTAAGCCTGGCTAGGACGCGCTTCAGCAGGCACCCTTTAGAGTCTGTTCCCCCCACGGCCGCCAGAGGGAGCCTCATACTTAGACCAGCCCCCGACCCCGCTCTGCACGGAAGCCTCCCCTGGCTCCCATCTCACAGTAAAAGCTAGTTTTCACTGTGGTCCACAAGGCCCTGCCTGGTCCCGCCCTTTCCTCAGTTCATTCTGCTCCTCCGGCTGTGTTCAGCCACCTTGTCCTTCCCACGGGACCTGCCCACACAGCCCCGTTGGCTTTGCATCCTGCACCCGTCCGTCGGCTCCCACATCTCAGAGCCAAGGCAGCCGCTCTCCGGGAGGCCTTCCCTTGCCCCACCCTTCCAAGGATCTCGTGTGGGTCTGGCCCCAGCCTGAGGTCACCCTCCCGCACCTTGTTCCTTTCATCCATCACTTCTGTCACCCTCTGAACTTACCTGTGGCCTTGGCTTGTTTCTCCCTGCTGATCTTTAAACCCTGGGAAGCTAGAGTGGCACCGTTCTCCGTTGCACATCTGGCGCACTGCCTGGCGCATAGTAGGTCTCTAAAGGCAATAGCCCATGGCTTTGCGGGCCCCTGTGTGCCAGGCAGTGTCCTAGGTGCTTTGCCTGTATTTAAGGAGCAGGTGGGGCGCAATCCCTTGGACTTTGCCGAGGAGGAAGCTGAAGCTGGGAGGACCTGCCCCAGCTGGGGAGGGACCTGCCTCAGTCCTCAGCCAGAGTAAGCTGAGCTGACCCTGGAACCTGGCTCTGCACTGAGTCAGCCTGGTTTTCTGTCTCCCAACAAAGGCACCAGGCATCAGGAAGGGGCGCCTTCAAAAGGTGTTGCGGATACGTTGGTGTGTGTTAGGCAAAGCCTGCCCCGTCCTCCGGGGAGCGGGGCTTGGATTTCAGCCCTTCCCCACCTCCCCATGGCATCTTTATGCTGTGCGCTTCTGCTCCATGTCTGCCCCGACCCGCATGGTGACCCAAGGAGAAACGAGAACTGCGAGGTTCAGTAAGCTGCCCGGGGTGTCAGCCGGGTGACCCTAGCACCGATCCCGCTGGCGGGGGCTTGCACACCTTTGCCTCTGGGGTCCCCAGCCCGGCCCGTGCCTCCCCGCTGCACTCACTTGTAGCCCACGTCGCACCAATTCAGTGTCTTCATGTGGTAGTGCTGCACATTCTGGGCCTGCTGCTGGCAGGAGGCTGGGGTGTTGCAGCTGCTGCCCGCCGTGTGCGACACCACCACGTAGCGCACGGGCTGGCTCAGGGGCGTGTTGCACTTTGACGCCAGGGCCCCCCACTCCCTCCGTGGCACTATGGGGCTACAGCAGGCCGGGGTTTCTGTCTTCTGAGCCTCTCCGAGTCGAAGGAGGCTGAGGAGAGCCCAGGCGAGCAGCGCGGGGCGACGGGACATAGCGGCAGGGGCGCGGGGACCGCTAGGAGCGCGCAGTGGTGGGGCCG